GTAGAAGGGCGCGCACGCGCGCATATATAGCCACTCTTTTCCCTCCGCCTTGTCTCTCCATTCACTTCATCGCTGCTTCATCAACTGCGTTTTTAACCGAGAATCCGCTGGGCAGGGCTAACCTCTACAGATACTCTTATTTTTCTTCATGAACTCGAAAACAAACCTCGCTCTCTCTAATTAACACGTCACTTTTGGCGGCCGCGTTATCCTTCATCAGTCGGAAGGAAGCTCGAGGGGCGCGCCGCCACTGCGAGCACTCGAATTTGTGTTTCTTTTTTGCTCGACGAAATGGCGCAACTGTCTGTGGGGAATAAAGCTATACAGGAGAACAGAGCCCGCGAAGAGGTCCTCAGTGCCGAACAAACACTTCCTATTAGATTTATGCCAGAAGGGACGAATGCACGACGTCCAGCGCTGTATGCGTGTTCCGCCGGCGTGACACACGAATCACTCTTAACGCGACAGGTATAAAACAACGGGGGTGAATTGATCTTCGACACGGTATTTCACCCATTTGAAGAGACACGTCATGCTACGACATGAGCATCTGACATATCTGCACGAGTTCTCGTTGCGAAATAACACGCAGTCTTCGGTCTAAATCGTTTTCCAGTTAGCCTCCTATTTGGCTCTTCAATGTTTCGATCACCACATCAATCGTTTGACGAATGACGTCGATACTGAAGTGCACAATTAGTAGGTATTGTTTATATGTCCCGTCAAATAATTAGGTTTTATGCACTGCATATGCTATGCTTCTAGTATTACGCATACGATTGTGAAATGCAGTGTGTGAAGAAAAACGACAGACTATGTCAGTTCTAAGGCATGAGATAAGTTGGGTTTCTGGATGATGCACTCTTTTTGCTAAAAATTACTTCAAAGAGATCTATATCACCACGTCTTTTCAGATACTGCCGCTGCGACTGCAATTATTACGGCAATTACCTCCCGACCCGTGCTTTCAAGGGCGCAAACGAGGCATTAGAGCTGCTTATAAAGGCGCATTTATACTTCCAAATTAGGCTTGTCTTGATTATTGTCACGTGCATTTTACTATGATGGCGACACTCACTCACCAACTCCATCATTCTAATGCATTTTATATGTTATGTTTTACTAGCCAAGCGATTTTAGACCTAATTATGCAGCCATTAATACACTAACGTGTCATATTGCTGTAAGCTCACTCCCACCATGTGCCTTGAGCTATTTGGCCAAAAGTGGCCCCTTCGCGAAAGATACCTATGAATCATTATAATAATAATAATCATGACTATCACTACGGCATTATGCAAATCAGTGGAAATTTTGGCCATGTATCACCACAATACTAATGTTCATTTGAAAGAGCCTTTGCTTGGGCATATTGGTAACAGGTCTAACTCCTTAGCGCACAAACTGACGACGATGAAGAGGGATGTGTCCGCCTTGATTTTCGCCTTTGTCCGTTGGCGCGCTAAAAAGTGAGATATAAATGTTCGACGCAGTACACTTCCTACACGCTTCTCGGCTTGAAAGTTGTACAAACTATGCAAAACTTTAAAATGAACTGCGCACATCTAAAGCCTTCCGAGTCTATTCGAACTAAAAAAAAAATCAAAGCATTCCCCCAAGTTAGTAAAATATATATGGATGGCTTATCTGTGCCGGTTCGCCAACTTAACGGTTCCCGGTATACACGACTCTATGCACGGTGGGCGTCCGCTGGATGGGCCAACAGCAAGCGGCGAAGCGCAGTCAGCGTACGCGATCATTCTTTGGTCGCAGGTCAAGTCCCACCGGGTTGTCCCCTTATCAGCAGCATGGACGCCTCCGTGGCGCCCCGGCGGCCCCAGACGACCCCCCTTTCCGCCCACCGCGGGAAGTCGTCTGGGCATCGCGCCGCTTCACGCACGGGCGAGACATCGGGCGAGACGGCGACCTCCGCGGAGAGAAAACAATTAGGCCGACGCTGACGTCCGCTCGGGGAGCGAGGAGGTGCCCCTCCACGTCTCAACCCTTCGCGCCTGCAATAGTACACATTGTACAGAACACGGCTCGAGCACCTGAATAGTGTATCTGTTATTAAACCACGATGGAGCTGTCGCACTTGGCCTGACTGTCCGATATTTAAGGGAGCAGTCCACTGCGCCCCGAATCGCGCACCTGAGGACTATTCACCCATCTATTTGACCCACGCATAAAGTAGGGCATTTAAGGGACAAGTGAGGTACACAGTAGCAGACAAGTATGTACGTGGGCTGACCCTGATCGCAGGTCGCGGGGTCGACTCCCGGCCGCATTTTCGACGGAGGCGAAAAGCTTGAGGACCATGTGTTTTTAATTAGGTGCACGCTAGAGAACCTCCGGGAGTGGAAATTTTCCGGAGCCCTCGACTATGGCGTCTCTTATAATCGTGTCGCGGTTTTGGAGACGAAAAACCCCGACAATTATATCATGGGCTGACCCTGTGCGACCACACTCCCGTATATTATAGGCAAGGTGTCAGCCCCCACGCGCTCGCCATGAGGCAGACTATTTTGCTTACGTAATTGATGCCATGCACGCCCGCTAGATTCCCCCAAAATCGCGAACACATCTGCATGCAACGCTACAGTTGCCGTAACTTCGCGAACCGACACTGGCGACTTGACCTACAAGTGAACCGCCATTGTTTGGCCAACCAAAATGCGATAAGGACGGTCTCGCCTGCGCCAGCCAGGGGAAATACCACACCGCGAGCTACCGAAATCAGGGGCCTTCGAGCAGCCCGTGCCAGCGGTCGTGGGCGATGCATGCATGCATATCAGGAGCGGCGCGAAGTAAGCGGCCGTGCGCGCGGCACTGATTAGAGCGCGAAGTGAGCTCCTCGCCGAGTTGCATACCGAAGTTGTGGAGGGCTGCGATGCCGGCCACACATCTGCATTCTCCGCAGCCATCCTTCCCACACTTGTATCGTGATAGTTCATTCGCGGCCAACGGCCATGCGACGCCCACGAAGCACCGGTGAAGCGCTCGCCGCCCCCGGTTGAAACACTGTCTTTCCAAACACCTGCAGGTGTGGGTATCGTTGTCACGGGTTTGCACTCGTTCTACCGGCTGTTCTATAGTTCTGACGCCGCGTCTTTGCGAAGAAGAGACGGATCAATCAGCATGGATGATCACTGGTCACCGACTAAAGTTCTGGCAAAAGCAGGATTACGTTTGCTGATGCAGGCAGCCCCATAAAAACATTTTGCATTTTATATTGTCTGGAGTTTTACGCCCAAAAACCAAGATCTGATTATGAGAGACGCCGCAGTGGGTGGCTCCGGAAATTGTTACCGTCTGTAGTTATTTAACGTGCACTGACATCACACACGGGCCTCTACTGTTTCCCCTCCATCGAAACGCGACCGTTGTGGCCGGCATCGAAACTAGCGAGCTTCGTGTCAGCAGCGAGCGTCCTTGCCACCGATCCACCGAGGCGGGCGCTAAAACATTTGTAAGCCGCTATTGTCATTCGGTTAGCACGTATAAGAACGCGTGCATTTTGTTGGTCCACCTATAGGGACGCAGCGGAGAAGCTGTAGCGGACTCAGAAACAAAGAAAACAAATACAAGGACCAATACGAATCTTCCTCGCGTGAACTTTAAACGGCGCAAGTTCTGTGGGCACGCTCTTCCTGAACCGCCTATAGCGGCGAAAGGAAGCCGCAATTTCAGCAATGGCCGATAAACGAGGGGTGTTTGTATAGACTTGCCGAGTGGCCGTTTTTCGGTCGGCCGCTCTCTCTAATGAACTGGATCTGGCCAAAAGCGAAGCGGCCCGCGCGGTCGATCACCGAGGCAACGACGCGCCGAGAAACCGCCTATTAGCCGCGCCCGGGCCGAGAAGAGTTGCTCAAGGCGGCACCCTCCCACAAGCCGTCGCCTCCGGGTCCAGTTCTCCTTGTTCCGGACGGGTCGGTCCTCCGTCAAGCCTTTCCCGCCATCACCTGCAGCGACGGCGGCGCACCTCGGGGCGGAGGGCGGCGCCTTTTCGCGCACCGGGCGGCAAACCATCGCGGCTATTTTCATCCGACTGCTGGCGGAACCGTTTGTCCCTGCCACGAAAAAAGAAATAGCTATACGCATCCTCGTGGCCAGTGGTGTGGAATGATGGAGCTGAGCGTGGGCTTGGCTGTCTACATTTAGGCCGCTATCGGCCGAACTGCTGATGCTAACCTCGACAGAGACCAAGCATGCGCTATCCACACCATCGATTAATGACTGCTCTCGTGCGTCCGTTCGTGAAACATGCGGCTATTGTTGCTGCCAGTATTTGGTACCAATCGAACGTGTTCGGCGAGTGCCTTTTTAATGAGACACCAAAACTGTACTAGTACAAATAACGTTTCCTCAGCACACGTGCGCACGCACGCACGCACGCACGCACGCACGCACGCGCACACACACACACACACGCACACACACACACACACACACACACACACACACACACACACACACACACACACACACACACACACACACACACACTTACTGTGACAAGGCGCAGCCAGAAAAGCAAGAACAAAATCTTCATGATGATACTGCTGCCATCCCTGATACACTGCAAGTCACCATGACGTCATAGAATTTTATGACTTCGGCTAAGGTTTGTTTTTTTTTCTTTCGATATTTGCTGTACTTTAATCGAGTCAAGCTGTGCAGAGAAAACTTCGAGAACATTTACTCAAGTCGTAACGGCCACACTGCAAAAAACATAATTTAAATCAGTGCACGCGTTTGCACTGACGTATTCCGGACGAAGTGGCACTGACGCGATGCTCGAAGACTAAAACATTAGAATTAAGTGCTTCTGTTTCTGCTCAACCTGTTACATTTTATACAAAGAGTCCGGAGAAAAGGCTTTTTGAATGAAGGCTAGTTGGCCTTTATTCTTGGCTTCTTTTTCAGATATAGAGCAACAAAATGTGAGCCGTGTTCACGCGTCACAGGATAAATGCTTGAGACAGAAGTCAGATTCTCACCTTGGACTTTCGTTTGCAACGCTTCTCCTCAGGCTCTTTTTTGGAATGAAGTCTGTAAGCCCATCTTTAGGAACGTCCTGGAGGGGGCTGCGAAAATCGAAAGAGACAAAAACGCCAGGTGTTAAAAATGAATTTTCGCTTGGGGAAGCCAGTTGAAATTGCACGAATACAGACAACCTTTACACGAACCTCATAATGGTCAGCTCATTCAAATACATCGCCACTCGGTATACTTTTGGTGTTACTCACGGCACCATTTAATCCAACAGCCCCATCAAAGTAAAACATAAAAAAAGAAGTTTTGAAAGCGTCACGCGCATTAAAGTCGTAATGACACAAACACTTCAACAAACTTCCCGCAAATTCAAGGCGGAAGCTGACTTGCAGCTTGCAGAATACGATATCGGTATTGCGCTGTCCAATAATCTTCTCTAACCTGGCAACAGCAGCACTCTGTGCAACACATTTGCGCATAAGCAGTTCCTTTTTTTTTGTGCGTAAGCAGTTCCTTTTTTTTTTTGTGCGAAATTCCGAGGAAGAAAGATTCGCTCACCGCCAAACAAATTCTATTGCGCGGCGCTTTCTCGTCTCCATGACGCTCGGAGGAGGCAAATCGACACACCTTGCGAGTAGACAGAAAGTGCGCGAAGGTCAGTTGCCATCGCGGATTATCGCCGAACTGTCAGGACAAAAGGAAGACCCTTACGACGCGCGTATAGTACAACGTCCGCACGAGCACCTGGCCGGAGACTTGAGGCACGCCTCTTCGCCACGGCCGACTGTCACAGCACCACGGCCGCCGTTCGTGTATGCCGGGAACGACGACAGCCTTCCACACGGCGACAACCGTGTCATTCGTCCAACTTGTGGTCACGATGATTACGCAGACGCTGTGGAGGGGGCATCTGTTCGGAGTCAGTGGCGTGTACAGCAACAAAATCTGAAAGCTGTTCTTGCAGCTTCATTTTTAAACCATCTTGAAAGACCGCTGTATTGTAGGCGTGTTTGTATAGGCACATACCAAAAAAAAAAAAAAACTAATTGAAGTTGCACCGTTTCGCGATGCGCTCTGCCGCCAGATGTGCGTGACTTGTAGCAGCAACATGGCTCCCTGGACGATACATCAAAGGAACAACGGAATGTGAATATCAAGTCACCCTTGAATGACATTTTGTGAATGACGAGCGTGTTGGTCGATGACAAGAGGCGCTGTAAGCGAGAAAACTTTACAAGAAGTTCGCGGCAGAACAGCGCAGAAAAGAGGACCATGAGCGCACAGGACACTCCGCTGACTTCGAAAAAAGCTTGAAAATCAGCGCTACGTCCATGTGTGCCTATCGTCCAGTTTTCCGCGCTGTTCTGTGAACCGAATATGCGCAGCCGGGCCAGGCCAATTAGGGCACCAGATTCGCGATGCAGCATTGCAGCCACCGTGATTGTAGCTGACGCTATTGGCATATTACCGCACTCACCATCGCGCGGTGGTGACGCACAACAGCAATTGCAACGCGCGCATATATTTAACTTCGCATGCGCCCTCCATCTGTAGTATAGCTCTCACTGTGAGAGCATCTTGAGAAACGAAGAAAAAGAAGGCAAAATCGAGAGGTGTAAAAACGGCAATATCCGCGTTGCCATTGAAGGACGGGGCCGTTCAGCACGCGCCTCTCGGGCCAGCGTCGAAGGTGCACATCCTCGAAGAGCGGAACAGCCAGCGCAGTCCATATTTCATCGTGGTCCGCTCCCGCGGCCACAGCAGCGTCCTGTTCCGGAGCAGCTTCCCCCGAAGGAAAGGAGGGGGAACTGACCGTGTTTTACGGCTCGGCCGCGAGGAGACCGGCGCACCTTTCTTTGGCCAGATCGGGTCGGCCAGCGGCGCGCGTTTTCCTTTCACCGCCGCACAAGTAATGGCTGCACACGAGAGGCGCACGCATGGTGGTAGCCCAGAGAACGTCTATCCTCGTGTGTATGCGCTGCGCGAGGACTCGACAAGATGCATGCATTTCGATAGAAGTTTCCACCGCACCGTGGAGACCTTTATTGACCAAAACAATCGTGTGAGACGTTGCCGTAAGTTTCGGTGACACGAAGCGCCTGTTCCATTCGTTGATTTCTCGAGCTTGGCAGTGCAGGCCAGTAAACGCTTTCGGGAAAAAGAGCATCCTCACGTCCGATTGTTGGGGTGTAAGGAAAGTATACGACGAGAAGGTGCACCCATAATCTAATTCGCATTTCCAGCAGTGCGGTCAATCCTACGTGCCAGAATTACGACCTCCGCGAAATTACACGTGTCGTAGCTGTGCGTGTCCTTGCAGCACGCTGCAAGTGTCCGAAAGTGTGTCCTGTTGGCGGGCTTTCGAAGCAAGGTAGCTCATCCACACACCCCGGTGATTACCAGCCTCTTGCGTAATCGCCTTGAAGCAGAGGGGGTTGCAATTTTGCCAGCGGTTCCATATCATCAATGACTGCTTGTTTTGCTCACTACGAGATGAGGCGAAAAGAGACGGTAGTTGCTCTCTCGCACTTGAATGCGCAACCAGCAGCAACCGGAGCACGCCGGCCTCGCGCTCCCATGTTTCTTTTCGTATACATCGACAGTGTACGTCTGCCCCGCCGCGGTGGTCTAGTGGCTAAGGTACTCGGCTACTGACGCGCAGGTCGCGGGATCGAATCCCGGCTGCGGCAGCTGCATTTCCGATGGAGGCGGAAATGTCGTAGGCCCGTGTGCTCAGATTTGGGTGCACGTTAAAGAACCCCAGGTGGTCGAAATTTCCGGAGCCCTCCCCTACGGCGTCTCTCATAATCAAATGGTGGTTTTGGGACGTTAAACCCCACATATCAATCAATCAATCAATCAATCAATCAATCAATCAATCAATCAATCAATCAATCAATCAATCAATCAGTGTACGTCTTAGACTTTTACCAGGACGACTGCGTTTAGTAAAAGGTAGAAAAAGGTCACTTCACTCGCTACAAGATCCCCGTTTACGAAAAAAGCACGCCTTTCAAACACAGCGATGTGACAACTGTGACATTACTTAGTTCGCGCTCATACTGAGTATACTTGATTGTATACGTTTTGCGCGTACTTTAAGTTTGAGTAGCCGCGTTGAATATTGAGCTGTGAACGTTGTCAGCTCGTCCTGTGTGTGCTCTTTATTGTGCGTTCTTTCGTCTTGAGCAGTGCACTGCACGTTTCAATTTGGTTGCCGTTTTTCGCTTCATATCTCAAATTGTTGCTATGCGGCATTATTTTCTTCACCTTTGCGGTAAAACGTGGACTCTTTTGTATATGTTTCTCCCTATTTTTTCCCACACTTCCTATTCCATTTTCCTTTCTTTCTTTCTCTTCTTGCTTTAGTATCTTTTTCTTTAATCTCATTTTGATGTTTGTGTCTTTCTGTCGTTTTCTGTCAATTTTTACGTCTTTTATTTCACTTGATTAATCTCCATGTTCTCTGTCTTTTTGTTTCAATCTCAATACTTTCTTCGCTTTTTCTCTCTTTCTTTCTCTTTTTATATCTCTTATTTGTCCATCTATTTCTTTCAATCTCTTTCTCTCTCTCTCTCTCTCTTTCATGTGTTCTACTTCACTGGGCAGTTTTCGTAAAACGATCGCACCAGTAGCGGGACTTACCCAATTCCTGTGGCGCATAAACCACCTTCGGGGTTTCGAACGACGCAGTACGAGCTACCAATAGCTAAAAAATCTTCAATGTCAAAAAACGCTTTTCCCGGACTGTCGTGACTGACTGCTTTCACCACGGGGTGGCGCGGCTATCAACTTCTCTCGAGTACAGACGTAGTGTTCAAGTTAAGAAACATTATATAATACAGGAGTTTGTGTCAGCCCATCCGCTCAGCGGACCAGTGAAGGTCTACGGCGAGAAGAAATTAATAACCTCACAAAAAGTCCCGATTCAGTGTCATGCACTGAGTCGCTCTATGGAGCAGGAAACGTTCCACAATCTCACCAGCAAATTCCCCCTCTCCTTTCCCCACAGCCACTCGTAGGCACCTTCAGAGGCCCGAGTCGTCATAAGCAAACACCTTCGCGCGGTGTGGCAAGCGTGCGCGCGCCCAAGCACAGACGCGCCGATAAAGAGGCACCACCTGCAAAATCGAGCGCGTTGCGCTGCAAAACGACCACCATCCCCCATTCGACGCAACGCTCTCGAATAGAGTTTTTGAGGGTCGACCCAATAGACGTCAGCTTCTCACACATTCCCCCCGCCCTCCCGTCACGACGCGGTGTGCCGAGTAAGCTGAGAAGAAAAAAAAACACGCAAAAAAATCAAACGGGAGTTGACGCGAGCGGAAGATTCTCGCACACGCAGTACAGCGTTCCTTGGCAAGCTAATGAAAGTCCGGCGCGTGCAATCAGCGAATCGGCCACGGGGGCCCGAGGGGCGACGACGCTTTCATCAGTGCGTCCGCTCGTTTGCGCTCTTTGTCGCCCAGGGCGTCCATTATTCGCGCCAAAGTAGACCACGAGACGGCCGTGTACAAAGGAAGCCGATGAAGACGGTTTTCCGCTTCGCCAACGAAGCGTCCCGCCGACGGCTGTAATTAAAAGACCCACCGCAGCCGCTCATCTCAGCTTCCGGAGTGCGCAAAGCCTCCCCCGCGCATCATGCCGTATGCGAGAGGGGCGCGAAGAGAGGTAAGCAAACAAGTAAGGGCGCATCTACGTCTTAACAGGACCCCTATACCTGCGGTGCACCAATAGTGTACGGGGTGATATTCGGCAGAGTTCGCTGAAGAGATATGTTGCATACTGCGCAGAGTCAACACATCGATGCTGCAGCCGCAGGACGGTAGCGGCTGAATGCTATGAACGTGTGCAACCTGTGCTTCGATATTCGACAGTATTAGAACAGCGTACGCAATCTATTGCGAACGTTTGCCGTAATTGCACATGCGTCACACGCTATCGTCTATATATATATATATATATATATATATATATATATATATATATATATATATATATATATATATATATATATTATAAAGCAGGGTTGCCAAAACGATATATATATATATATATATATATATATATATATATATATATATATATATAT